TTGAAATATTAAGTGTAATAAAATTCTTTTATTATAGATTCTATTACCCTTTGTTAAGTATTAAGAAAAATTCAACATATATTATTATCCATCATGCAGCAGGGAAAACACCATCATAAATTTAAATTCATTATCAAACTTAAATTTTAGTTATCCCAAGAATAAGTTATCAAATCATATATATTAATTGGATAGTAAATGTATGTCTTTCCTGACCAAAAGCCACACAGAAGATCACTGTGGTGGATGCAGTAAGCTGTTTTCCTAGGACACTGGACGCTAGTTCTGCCTGCTCTAATTTTCCTAGTTCTCATTTTACACACACACCTCTCCCATTGTGTCTGCCTCTGTGTAATGTCCTCACACCTTTCTCCTGTTCATTTACCTTGTACTCAGCTATGGAACTGAAAGGGGTCTTAGTGATTATGGACCCATAGCTTACAGATGTCAGAACTGAAGCTTGAAAGATGGTGCCCTGATAAAGTCATACACCACTATGTGGCAGAGTGAGGGGATCGTCTCTTGATTATCTCCTGCTGCTGAATGTAAATTTTTAAAAATGTGGGAAATTTTAGCTTTTCCCTCAAGACTCAGTTTCAGTATCCCTCTTCGATAAAGCCATTCCTCACTATGTAGGAAGGGCACCGGTTTGAATGCAAACTATACTGCCTACTTGCCCTGTGACCATAAACAAGTTCTTTTATCTCCATTATCTTAGTGTCCTACTTGGTAAAACGGGGAAGATAACAGCTTCTCTCTCATAGGGCTGTTAAGAGCCTTAAAAAAGTTAATATTCACAAATAACTTAGAATAATGCCAGGCCATTATAAGTGCTCAACAAGCATTAGTTATTATTATAATTGCCCACGTTAATCACCCTTTCCTATTTTGTAATTTCATGAATGCCACCAAGTTAGCATTATTTTCTAGCTGTTTTATTTAGAATGTTAGTTTACTCCAGTTTTTTCTTCCTGACTCAAGTCATTTCAGTGTAGGAACAGTGTCCTATATTTCTTCTGTGTACCTCCATAGGGCCTAATATGATGTTTGATGCAAAATAAGGATTCTGTAAATACTGGTTATTTTTTCCCTGCTGGTTGGTAAGATAAATAGATCTCTAATAATTGCAAATCTGGCAAACTTCAAGATGGTCTCAGAGAAAATGCCAGTTAAAATATATAGCAGTATAATATGCCAGTGCTCTGTTTCTAAAAAAAAAAACAAACAAAAAAAACAAAACAAAGACCACTACTCACTGAGAGTATTTGAAGATAAATTAAAAAGTCCTCAGAATACATATTTCGGGTGGTTTTAGTAGTAGTGGATAAGACGATAGGATATTCTGTGTTACAGCCAGAGTCATTATGTAAGACACGGCTACATACTTTCAAATCGTGTATTGATAGCCTAGTGATATTATTCTAAACCCTGAATTCTGGACAGCATTTTACTCAGACGTGTTTTTAATGCATGTTCTTGGCTACACATTAGAGTTGCTTGGTGAATTTAAAAACTCTTCATTACCCAGGCTTTACCCCAAACCAGTGAGCTCAGAATCTCTGGCACCGGTATTTATTTATTCAGTCTCTTCAGGTGTCTCTTCAGTAGTTCCACTTTGGGGAATTACTGGGACAGTCTGTTAGACTGCAAGACTGTTGTTTGGTGACACATTTATCCAGGGTAGGCCGTATGGTAATTATGGCAGTCTAGCTACCTTATAAAATTCTGTGACATAATATGCAGCCTAGACATTGGCTCACTTTCTAAGAGGAGTTTCGAGGAATGAGGAGATAATTGAATGTGATTCCTGTTGCCAAGGCTCTGTAACCCTGAAACTTTATTTTGTTTGTTTCATTTCCCTTCCCACAGTGATTGTGGCTGGAACTTGTGTTTTCCTTTTTGGCCAGGCTGACTCCTGCAGATGTGTCATTTTCTACACACTGGCTCCCTGCTTTACACCTGACCAGAGGGGAGTGGCAATTCCTGAGTCACCTTCAGCACTCTGTGATTTCCCTGGGAATCTCTCACCCTTTCTAACCTTGCACTTTCTCTGGCTTGAAGAATTTATTCTCAGGATGCAGCTTTAAAAGAAGAGATTCTTAAATCAGAAAAAGAACATAGTTGTGCTATATCAAAATATAGGCTTACCTTTATTTTTTTGGTCAATATGACCTACTAGTCCAAACAACTTCTTATTCTAGAAGATACTATTTCACTAGGTAACATATATGTTACAATTTCTATTATCTTTTATTTTTATAGTTAAATTATTCCTGTAGTTATTGAGAAAACATTTCTTGGCCATCTGTGATGTGTCAGGTATTGTGATAGGTGTTTGGAATATAAAGATAAAAGACCTAGTCCATCACAGACTTCTTGCGCATTGATGGAAGAATGTATTGTATGAACTGCATTGTATTGTATGAACTGCTATGATGACATGCAGGAAAGGCATCTGTCCAAACATGGGGCTACTGTACTAGAACCTGTCAAAAGCATTGGATCTTTTATTTCTCACTATAACTTCAGGACACAGGGGACATGGTATTTCCATTTTACAGATAAGAAAACTGGATGTCAGAATAAGCCATTCACCATTTTCACAAAATCATTAAATGGATGTTCTATTTAACTGCCCACTCCTGGCAATGTTTTTATTACTATTTTTATTAATAAATTTTATTTTTAGAACAGTTTTAGTTAACAGGAAAATCGAGTGGAAAGAATAGATTGCCATATACCCTCATCCCCCACCCCCAATGCAATCTCTCATACCATCACCATCTTACACCACAGTGATACACTCATTACAACAGATGAACCTACAACGACACATCATTATCACTCGAAGCCCATAGTTTACATTAGGGTTCACTTGTAGTGTTGTACATTCCATGAGTGTTGACAAATGCATAATGATATGTTTCCACAATTGTAGTATTATACACGTTCATTTCACTGCCCTAAAAATCCCCTGTGCTCTGCCTGTTCGTCTGTCTCTTGCTCTTAACTGCTGGCAAACCCTGATCTTTTTACTGTCTCCATAGTTTTGCCTTTTCTAGAATGTCATATAGTTGGAATTACACAATATGCTGCCATTTCGGACTGGCTTCTATCATTTAGTAATATCTATTTAATTATTCCTGTCTTTTCATGGCATGATAGTTCATTTTCATTTAGCTTTGAATAATCCATTTTTTGGATCTACTACAATTCATTTATCCATTAACTTACTGAAGGACATTTTGGGTGCTTCCAAGTTTTGACAATTACGAATAAAACTACTATAGATATCCATAGGCATGTTTTTGTATGGACATAAATTTTCAGCTTATTTGGATAAAATAGTAAGGAGTGTGATTACTGGATCATATGGTAAAAGTATATTTATCATATTTTGCTGTGTATAGTGCACTCCTGTGTAAAATATGCACCCACATTTTTGGCCCAAACTTTCAGGAAAAAAAATCTTTCATTTTAATTTTTAATTCAATTATTTATTTATATGTAGAAACAAAATTGATTATCATATTCCAGCGTGTTATTTTGCATATGGATATAATTATTATTTTCTAGAGGTATGCTTTTAATGCATGAGCATAAATAAAATAATTTAAAACATTTATATAGATACGGAATTAGTATTACCCATGTATAATGCACATCCTTATTTTTCCCCTCAAAAATTTGGACAAAAAAGTGCACATTATACATGGCAAAATATGTTTTTTTTTGTAAGAAAATGTCAAACTGTGTTCCAAAGTGGTATACTATTTTTCATTCTCAGCAGCAATGAATAATTTTTCCTGTTGCTTCACATCCTAGCAAGCATTTGATATGGTCAGTGTTTTGGATTTTGGCCATAGTTAAGTGTGTAGTGGCTTTTCATTGTTTCAATTTGTAATTTGCTAATGACATAAGATGTTGAACATCTATTCATATGCCTATTTGCCATCTGTATGTCTTTTTTGGTGAGGTGTCTATTCAGATCATTTGCCCGTTTTTAAAAATTGAGTTATTTTCTTAGAATTGAGTCATTTATTAATATTTTATACCTGAGGTCAACATGAGAGGATTACCTTTCTGAAGAAGGGGAAAAAGCACCTCTTGATACTGGGAGCTGACCTGGCACTCACAGCCAGGTGATGTGTTTTCATGTTGAATGTAAGCAATTTCACATAACATCAACACCAGACAAAACCACTCTGAAACTGCAATGGTTGATATAAAAACGAGACCACCTTATAGTCATGCTTGAACATAGACAAAAGCAAGAACATGGGGCAAACCACCAAAATGACCAACGTTTCCCTCTTCGTGCTAACATGGCTGTTGCTGTTTGTTTTTTTTTCAATCACAGCTTTAGCCCTACTTAATTCCTCATGTGTCCTAGATAAAAATTAATGATACTTAGTGATAAAATTGCCCTCACTTTCTGATAGCACCATATCCAGAAGCATAAGCCATCTTTCTCTGTAACCTCCCCAACAGGACCAGGCAACAGAGGGATGGGGAGTTCCCAAGATGCAGTACTTTCAGTGACAAAATTAGGAAATCCTGAGGCCAGCTTGATCACTATAGTCTCTAAAATAATATAACACAATCCCAGATATTTTAAGAAGCCTCTCCTAACATCCTCTTTCTGAGATACCTTCCAGTTTACAATGGAATTTGGTCTCCCTTACTGTAAATACTTCCAATAAATCCAGCTGTAGGTGTGGCCCTGGTGGTCTTTGGTGATGAGCAGAGACCACGCAATAAAATCAAAGCAGAGCCAATACTATAGCAATGATTTTTTTAGATATTTCTTAACAATAATGTTTTAAATGATTAATTTGCTTCTAACAATAGAAAGTAGAAAGCTGTGCAACTTATGGGGAAGCCCCACAGCATGATGACTCTTAACATAAAAGAAGAATGTCCAGAAAATATTGTTATACCACAATAAGAGTTTGTTTTGTTGTTTGAATAACAGACTTCCCTTCCTTTCTGTCACTCAGGGATCATGTCTGACCACCAGTTTGGTAACCAGTTTATGTGCAGCGTGGTGGCTTCTCACGTGAGTCATCTGCCCACAACCAACCTCAGCTTCGTCTGGATTGCTCCACCTGCTGGCACAGGCTGTGTAAATTTCATGTAAGTACCCACAGTGTCTGTGACTGACATGGAAGGCAAATCATTGGGTTACATACAAGCTAACTACTTAAAATTATTTTAACAAATTTGACTATAAAGCATATAATTTTGGTGTCAAAAAAAAGAGCTGAAAACAACTCTAAAAGGTAACTTTATTTTTTCATATTTATTAATACCTCAAAAGTTCTAAATTAAATTTTGGCTGATAAAATATGCAATAAGATAAAATATGTGAAGAAATAAACACAATATGAAAATTTTTGTTTAGGAAATAAGATGAAAACAAGTACAAAAAAATGCCATGAGGCTCCATGCACATTTTGGAAGACAACCACAAATTTAGCTTTCTGTTTTCTCACAATTAGTGACAAGGGGGAAATGTGATCAGTTAAGAGATTCGTGGTGGTGAGAAGTCAGGGGCTCTGTAGGAACTTAATACCTCTCTCACATGCTTTCATTGAGAGGAAAGAGAAATGTAGTGAGTAATGCTTCAACAGCATTCTTAGGTAAACGCCGCACTATGGCTCAAAGGCTGTGACTTATGACATCTCTCAGTATAGACTATACCCCTACCGCTGCCCCAGAATCACCACTCCTCATCGTTTTTAGTCATCTTTTTTTCACATCAGATTTTTTCACTTCTAATACATGATATACTATATATTTAATTATGCATATTCATTTTCTGTCTCTTTCTGCTGAAATGCAAGTTCCTTGAGGGCAAGAATTTCTTTTTCTGTTTTGTTTATTGATTTGCCCCAACTGTCTAAACAAGTCCCTGATACATATTAAGCATTCACTAAATAGTATTGAATGGTTAAATAGGCTAATGGACCAAGGCCAAAGGCAATTCAGAAACAGCATTCTACGGGCAGTCAGGTAAAAGAGCTGGATGGCATATTGAATAGTTTTCTATTCCAACCTTCTGCTCACACAACAAAATTCCATAAAATATTCATACTTCAAAATTCACCACTAACTTTACCTCCCCTTTAATAGCATACAGTTCAGAGTCAAGGGTTTATGTGGCTTCCACATCACTGATTATATACTCTTTCTGCCTATCCTCTGGATTATGGGGAGGCAAACATCAGATTCATCCCAGCTGGTTGACATATAATCCCATCATTTTCTACCTCAGAAAGTTTTTCATATTTGAACTCATTTCTTGCAGTACCTCTTGCTAAGATTACTGATTGCAATGGCTTCCTTCCTGGTCTCTTCACTCCCAGCCTATTTCTCCTCCAGTCCATCCTAAACATTGTTATCCAGTTAATCTTCCTAAGGTACAACCTTCATCATTCAAAACATTTTTACCCCCAAATTTCCATCTGAAGGCCATCCCTTGAATAGGCTCTTCCCAGTCCTGCTGTTTATTATTTTCTCTTATCTCCCATATCATGTACTTCCCTATAGGGCACTAACTGATGAGAATTCCTACAATTTCCAAATTTTCTAAACATTTTGTGATATTCTTTCTTCTTCCATGCTTTTCCTTATCCCAGGGTGCTTTTTTTTCTCTCAATTTCAATTGTTAACATTCTACCCATTCTTCCAGAACTGTTTAAAAAGCTAACTCTTCTGTCGTGCTTTCCAAGATGTCAACAACAGAAGTGATGTGTGTTGTCAATTTTGCTTGTTACTATTATGTGCTGATTATATTTTACTTTGTACTTTTTTGAGTTAATGCCTTGCCTTTTATGTTAGATTAGATTGGACAGGGACAACTGCTTATTTCTTCACGATTCCTCCACAGCTGGTACAATGCCTCAAACAGAAAAATCATAGAAAATGTACCTTGAATTATATGATATTCAGTGTTGTCTTTTCCTTTGGTTTAATAATCTCTGACTCTTTTGGCATACTTAATTTACTTATGTTGGCACTTAGAAAGATAATTTAAATTCTTCCCATGCATAACTTTTTAATTTAAAACAAGGATTATATTTTGAAAGAACACAAAATAAATTTGTCAATAATATTGAACTGCCTACTTCCCCATAAATATAACTTTTCATTGACTATTTAAAAATGATATTTGATGGCATAAGGCCTCACTCTTCCTGGGATATCAAAGTCTATTTTCTTCTGAGAAATACCTTATTTTAAGTCTTAACCTCAAGGAATGTTTTCTTAGCAGTTGGTCAGAAAAGTACACTGTGGTCAGAAGTAACTTTTACAGACTACAAAGAAGTTTACACACTCTGACTCACATTTCCCAATAAAATTTTGATGATGCAATTTGCACCTTTTAGCATTCTTAATAACATTAAGTCTCTGCTTAATGTAAGCCATGACTATGTTGAACATTACTTAAAGTATCTGCTTCTTGTGTGGGCAACATGCTTTTGTTGATCTCATTTGTATAAAAGCTTGCAATTTCTTACCTTTGTTCCTTACTGCACTATTATGTGTTGAGTAGAGCTATATATAAGTTAGCATCTGTAATTAATATGTGCCCAGCAATACTTGAAGAGGATTGCTAATGCCCAACATTAATTTTATTTTTTAATTTTTTCCATTACCATTTAGTCCCCTTAGGTTACCCCTCTTTTCCCAGCAATCACCACACTGTTGTCCATGTCCATGAGTCCTTTTTCCTTTTGCTTACTCTCCCCACCCCCTGACCTCCCCTGCCCAGATGTTATCCTGCTCTCCATCTATGTCTCTGTCCCCATTTTCCTTGTTAGTTCAGTTTGTTCATTAGATTCCACATATGAGTGAAATTATATTTGCCTTTCTCTGACTGGATTATTTCACTTAGCATAATGTTCTCCAGATCCAGCCATACTGCCTCAATAGATAAAATTTTCTTCTTTTCTCCTGCCAAGTAGTATTTCACTGTGTAAATGTCCCATAGTTGTTTTATTCACCCATGTACTGAGGGATGCTTGGGTTCCTTCCATTTCTTGACAATTTTAAATAATGCTGCAATGAACATAGGGGTGCTTATGTTCTTTCAAATTAGTGTTTCGGTTTCCTTTGGATATATTCCAAGAAGTGGGATTGCTGCATTGAAAGGCAGATCCATTTTTAATTTTTTGAGATATCTCCATACTGCTTTCCACAATGAATGCACCAATCTGCATTCCCAGCAACAGTACAAAAGGGCTTCCATTTCTCCACATCCTCACTAGCACTTGTTGTTTGTTGACGATAACCATTTTGACAGGTGCGAGACGATACCTCATTGCAGTTTTAATTTCCATTTCTCTGATGATTAGTGACATTGAGTATCTTTTTATATGCCTATTGGCCATCAGTATGTCCACTTTGGAGAAGTTGTCTATTCAGGTCCTTTGCACATTTTTTAATTGGGTTGTTTTATTTATTTATTTATTTTGGTGTTCAGTTTTGTAAATTCTTTATACATTTTGGATATTAACCCTCAGATGTATTGGTGAATATGTTCCCCCATTCTGTGGGTTGCCTTTTTATTTTGTTGATTTTCTTTGCTATGCAAAAGCTTTTTATTTTCATATAGTCCCATTTATTTATTTTTTCTTTTGTTTCTCTTGCCTGGGGCTATGTATCCAATAAAACATTGCTACGAGCAGTGTCCAAGACTTTACTGCCAATGTTTTCTTCTAGGATTTTTATGGTTTTGGGTCTAACATTCAAGTCTTTGACCCATTTTGAATTTATTCTTGTGTGTGGTGTAAGATGATGGCCTAGTTTCATTTTACTGCAGCTATATGTCCAATTTTGCCAACACCATTTATTAAATAGACTATATCATATTGTATGTGCTTGCCTCCTCTGTCAAATATTAATTGAATATAAAGGTGTAGGTTTATTTCTGGGCTCTCTATTCTGTTCCATTGATCTCTGTGTCTATTTTTATGCCAGTACCATGCTATTTTGATTTCTATGGCCTTATAGTATAGTTTGATATTAGGTAGTGTGATTCCTCCAAATTTGCTCTTCTTTCTCAGCATTGCTGTTGCTATGCAAGGCCTTTTGTGGTTCCATATAAATTTTTGAATTATTTGTTCTAGCTCTGTAAAGTATGTCATTGAAATCTTGATAGGAATTGTGTTGAATCTATAAATTGCTTTGCATAGTATGGACATTTTAATGATGTTAATTCCTTCTATCCATGAACACAGTTTGTGCTTCTATTTATTTGTATATTCTTCTATTTCTTTCTTTGGTGTCTTGTAATTTTCTGAATACAGATCTTTTATATCCTTGGTAAGGTTAATTCCTAGGTATTTTATTCTTCTTGTAGCAATTGGAAATGGGATTGTTTTCTTAATTTCCCTTTCTGTTAGTTCATTATTGGCATATAAAAATGCAATTGATTTATGGATATTAATTTTGTATCCTGATACTTTGCTGAATTCATATTTCAGTTCTAGTAGTTTCTTGGTGGAATCTTTGGGTTTCTCTCTGTACTGTATCATGTCATTTGCAAATAAATATAGTTTTATTTCTTCCTTTCCAATTTGGATGCCTTTTATTTCTTCTTGTCTGATTGCTATGGCTAGGACTGCTGAATAGGAGACATAAAAGGGACATCCCTGTCTTTTTCCAGTCTTAAGGGGAATGCGTGTAGTTTTTGACCATTAATTATGATACTGGCTGTGGGTTTGTCATATATGGCCTTTATTATGTTTAGATATGTTCCATCTAAATCCACTTGGCTGAGAATATTTATCATAAATGAGTACTGGTTTTTATCAAAAGCTTTTTCTGCATCCATTGATATGATCATATGGTTTTTATCCTTCATTTTGTTTTTATGGTGAATCACATTTATTGATTTGCAAATGTACCAACCTTACATTCCCAGAATAAATCTCACTTGATCATGTTATATGATCTTTTTGATGCATTGATGTATTTGGTTTGCTAACATTTTGTTGAGGATTTTGGTGTCTATGTTCATCGAGGATAGCGACCTATAATTTTCTTTTTTTGTAGTGTCTTTATATGGTTTTAGAATTAAGATAATGCTGGCCTTGTAAAAATGAGTTTGGTAACCTTTCCTCCTCTTG